ATTTTTAGGATTCCGTACCGAAAAGGTAAACGGGAACCGTATTACTGAAACTTCACTGTCTATTTGTCACCAGACTGTACGTATCACATAAACCGTGAAAATTAGTCAGTTGTAATTTTCACAGATTATTTCTGTTGCCGCTTCAACAAAAAATATTAAAGACAAGAATAAAATAAATATTTAAGGGGCTTCCATAAATCAAACGTTATTTTTTTGTTTAGTTTTGCTCGATATAAATAACGGCATACGAACCCTTCGTGCGCAAGTCCGACTTGCGCGACTTATTAAAAAAATCTCTATTTAATAAATTACAATGGCCAATCTTAAATTTTCTTAGGCTGGATTGCATGACTGATTGATTGAGTTAAAGTAGCGGTTATCGTCAAATTTGATACGTCACGCCATCTTTAAAATTTACTTTGCACCGACCTCTTTCTTGGCATAGTAAAACGATAACTTTAACTAGCAAAGCTTGAGCGGTTATAGATAATAATTAAAGTTATGATGTCATCTAATCATTGCCAAATGGCGCAAACTCATTTTTTTCTTAGTCAATACTTGATAACGTTCGATAAAGTATATCAAACCTTATTAAATTTGTCATTATTTATAACTAACCTTCTTTTAATAAAAAAAAAAATACAATCATCGCACTGACTTCGAACTCGCAAGTTATTAAAAATAGTTTTTGACGATCTATTTGGCGCAATACGTCATATTGTATCTCTATCTATCTCACTGACTGGCCTTTTAAGTAAGTCTATTTTTATCTTTGTCTTAAAACATGATGAGTATCATGAATATTATTAGGTTACCTAATAATTTTTTTATTGATAACGTATTTTTAATTGTTGTTTTATTTTATTTTTCATGTATTTTATCTGTGCGTACCGCTTTGAAGGAAAAACAATGAAACGTTGCTTTTTGTACTACGAAAAGTTTGCTTCTATGCTATCGTTACCTAATTAGGTAAGCTTTCCTTAAAAATACCTACCACTCAACGATATCTATGGTAATACAAGATGGAGTAATCTTATCCACCATTATGTCTCGCTCAACTGGTGGTTAGGTACATTGACTTACAAATTAGAATACCCGTATTTTTCGTAAGGATCGGGCTGATTGGCCACATCAGTAATACTTGTACATTACACGTTAGAATCGTAAAAACGCCGTAGAAAAATAGATTTTCTTATCATTACAACTTTAAAATTTGTAACTTTTTTCATCTCACAACAATACAAACTTTCTGTATTAATTTCTTTTGTTTTCACGCTTACTATCCATAAACTTTGCCATAATTTTTTTTTTTTGTATTGTGAATGTGTCCCATAATATTGATTTGAAGGCACCTATACTCTTAATTAAAAATACAATCAACACTTCAGTCTTATATGAACTCGGAACCTTAAGTTAAGGTCAATACAACTAAATAAAAACCCGATGAAACCGTTTAAAAGTTGTTTCATTTATTTAAAAGTCTTTCTGGCGTTCGGAATGTCTTTTCTCGGAATCATGTGATAAATATTCAATCTCTAATTTGAGATTATTATATGTAATATTAATATTACTTATTATTATTGTGGACTTTGCATTTACAATGCAATCTTACTTAACTTAGTGCTATGAAATCCAACTATTCGGAAGTAAATTATGATCCCTTTCCAATCTGCTGCTTCTGCTTCAATCTACACTAGTAATATTGTCAGTAAATTGGCAGTACAATTATAGTATAACGGATAAAAGCCGTATATAAACATACTGCAGCTGTCAATGTTGTTCGTATACCCAAAAGCAATTTTACTAAAAGGTTTTATGTACAAAATTTCTGCATTTTAAATTAAGCTGAGAAATTAAAGATGGATAATTCGGTACTAAAATATATGGAATATAAAGTGTAATATTTTATACTATTTTTACTTTTTTTTCTTATTAGTTTTCACTATCGTTATAATAATTAACTTTAATATATTGCGAAAATACGTCTGTATAGTGTATAGTTTGATTCTCGTTAGTCGCACGATGCTCTAAGATCAATCGCCCCGTCTCTTCTTGCGTTCCTATGATCGTGCTATGAGGTTTTACCAATTAGGGTTGGGTAGTAGACAGACTACTAATCAGAGCACAGAAAAAATATCTTTAATTCTTTTTTCAAGATCTAAGCAAGATCCCAAGCTCAAATCTATAGCATATTATCTTATCTTCGCAAAATATCGGACGTTTTTGGCGCTCGCGCGACGACTTATGAATCTCAATTAGGATACTTTTCAAGTTTGTTTATTTAATCTTGTCATTGGGCAAATGTGCAGGTTTTCTTGTGAAGTCGTAGCCAATTAGTATGACATCTTGGCTTTACGAGTTAGTATGAGTACGAGAGTCTCATGTAAGTATAAATTGTCGATAAGTAGTCAAAAAAATAACTTTTAATATTAATTAATATGAAAGAAAATTGTCCGATGTTTAAGTTCAATACAAAATTGATGACACGGCTTCATCAAGCCACTCGTTTGTAAATACCCCGCAAAAAACTTTCCGAAAAAAAAAGAACAGCGGAATATTGCTATCAATTACTGACGAGTATTCATTACTCAGCGATGCGAAATCGTTTCGTTATCGACTGGACAATTATACGAGTGATTCTCGGATAACGCTACGTTTACATTTCATTTCTGTTTTGCTTACATCGAATCGAGTGCATTGATGCAAGCGCAAAGCAATATAATCATTTTACAAGACGTGGTTATTTCTATTGCCGGGGAAAATTATTGCGGCAATTTATTTTACATTACCTGTAATATTTTTAACAACAATGCTTCATTACGTTTATGATTTAATTTGAACGTGTTAAGTAATGAAAGTTGTATATACTATGCGCTATTCGTTTACAACCGATGCTAAATTTACGAGTACTATTATGGTTAAGGCTAAGGTTTTGAGTTATTAAAGAATAAAAGCCAACAACGTATTCTAAATGAACAGATAACAGCTTCATGATTTTGTTAAGTGGGCAATATATTATAAACTAGCTTTTGCCCGCGACTTCGTCCGCGTGGTAAAGTTACTTTGAGCAGCATTACTAACGAATTTATTCATTATATCGTGTAAAATACTTAAAATAAAGTTCCATCCCCTATTTTATCCCCTTAGGGGTGGAATTGATTAAAATCCTTTCTTAGCCTACATCCTAAAGTTATATAAATATATAGATTTTATTACGCAACAATAAAAGTGTGGTTGAAACTTAGAAAAAGCGATCGTTTTGAAATGGAGGAAAGAATAGTGATATAAACTAACTAGTGTTTATATGTATTTAAGACCGGTTGGATGGCCCGAAATATTCTTTGTCGGTTATTAAGTATAAACAAATACCGCATGTCTTTTTGAATTATAGTACCAACTCACCCACAATTAATTAAGGTTTAAAATCAGGTAGCGAAATTTGACAGTTTCGTATAAAAAGTCCGCCTGCTAATGTTTAAAACTTATATTGGTTTATTGATATAATATACTTGATATGAGTGTTGTGTATGTATTTGTATGAAGTGGTAACGTCCTATAATTAGCTACAAGATTAAAAACGAACGGCTTACCTTCACAGAGAAGTACTGTGAAGTACTGGACTAACCTGCGGTTGCCTAGAAGAAATTGCTTTTTAGTGAAAAGGCCGCCGATTGTACCAGTAAATTGTATCGATTATCCTTTTGTTTAATTATGGTGTACAATAAAAGTATTCATTCATTCATTATTCACCGTTATATAAATGTATGCGTATGTAAATATACTGTGTGTGTGTGTGTGTGTAAATATACTGCAAGATATCTATACGATTGATAGGTCCATATTTAATAGCAAAGTTTTAGAACGGTACTTAATCACACAAAAAAATATGATCCAACTGATAAGGTCACGGAAAATCAAGGATTGATGTGGCAAGTCAAGCTTTTAGTACAAAAGGAGTTATGATTCCGCGTCAGGCGAATACTCGATACGAAATAACAGCGATATTTTTCATGAAAACATAGCATAATCGATTTAAGCTCCCGACGAATTTAATTTTGTTTCAGCGTAACATTTTTATTATTTCACCGAATATACTTAATCGAAGTTGAGCATACGTCGATGAATGTATCCGCAAACAAAATTTATGACAATAATCTGCACGCAGCCGCCGAATATAGCGGATATCAAGAACTACGTGTGGCCATTTTAAGCTGTATTAATTGATTGAATAAATTCAATTTATAATGTGTAGTCAAAATCTTTGATTATCATTAAGTCTATTCTAATATTTTTAGTGGGAATGTATTTATTTCATGTCATATTGTAGTTGTCATATTGTACAGATATGATATGTCTTTTTATGTGGAGATATTTGGGATTGGGATGGGCTTATTTTAATCGCGAGGAAACACCTATCTGCAGGTTGTTTGTGTTGACATTTATGAAATGGCAAATAACTGTTAGATTAATTATTAACGCTTACTACGTTGCTCTGCCAATCTTCCTTATCGAGATTCCTGTTCGAGTGTGCTGTTCGCTTAAGGAATTCTCCCCGAAATGGCACCATGAAAGTTCGCTCACAAGTTTGATTAAGCGCTAAAGTCAAAAGCTATTTCCTCTTTATATCTACAAACTATCTATATATAACGTATATTTTAATTATTTAATTCTCATCTATAACTATAATATTCTTCTCAATATTTTCATAATAATTCCCCTCAGAGAAATTGCTACTTTAGCATAAAGACGCCATTTTGTATACTCTTGATAATTTAATAACCTTTTTTCAGTCGTGTTATTCAATAAAGAATCTTATTCCAAAAAACTCGATAGCAGTATATGTAATATGGAACAGTACAAAATAAAATAAAAGAACAAAAAGAAGAAAAAGAACAATAAATGTTGCCCCCTTAGTCGCATGGTTGGTGCACGAAACTTCAACGTAGAATAAACACATACGTCGCCAACCTGAAACATGAGAATACACATAATCAACTTACGTGTCAAATATCGTATAAATATCGTTCCGGTATCGTTGATGGGCGGTATTGCCGGTACAGGCGGCGGCACAATGTGTGGACTGTCGTCTTCTGGCACCAATTCTGGAGACGGCTCAGTTTCTTCTGTCACGTCGTCTGTTAGAAGATTTAGTTTTGAACACGCGCGGTTGTCGTATTTTTGTGATTGTTTTTATTAGTTTGCTCGTATGGTTTTTTTTTTGTTTTTGTTTTCATTTAAGCATAAACTTACTTGCTAAGTGGCACTTAATAAATAAATGCAAATTAATATTAGAATATATCAAATTCAAAGGTAAAGCTTGGAATCAAACAGCGCTATCACAGCAAAAGTTCAATCAAATAAACCTTCTTGAAAATGTAATTAAAGTTGTACTTAATTGGGTTGAAGTCTAATGTTGAGATAGCGTCGTTTTTGATGCTGCTTTAGACACTGACACTTAAAAATCTATAATACTATTGAACGATAAAAACAATATTTCTTTATTAAACCTAAAGCATACAATTGTAAAACATTTCACAAATATGGTTAACACGTTAAAAATACATACAGACATAAATCCAGGGCGTTACGTATCAAATTTAAATTATAATTAGAAGAATTAATCTGAATGATCGGTAAAATAACAGGATACGAACGAACGTGGATTCAAATCATTTTGTATCCATATTTATGATTTACATTTTGATGGATAGTTAACGTTGAAAGTATAAAATAAAAAGGCATATTCTCCGAATAATGTAATACTATATTGATACTTAAAATTAATAAATGATAACAATAGCGGTTTATCCATTCATTTGAACATCATATTAGAAATTATTAGTGGGTGATTTTTCAGTAGGTACTCGTACTTACATACTTAGTCGTATTTTTAGTTCATCGTTCATCGTCCGTCATTTCATAAAGGCGTTTTTATTTTGGCCTTTTTGGTAAGAACCAAAAAAGGTTCGTAATAAAAGTGTTACAAACTTATTAAAGACGTAATATTTATTTGCACTCGACGTGTGGGCGTAACAACGTGGAAACAAAAATCCTGAGTACAGTTCAAGCCAGAGGCGTATCTAGACGCCGGTAGGGCGCGTGCTCGGGACGCCTTTTAAGAGGAGAGCGCGTAAGTCGTTTGTAATTAAATTTCAAATCAAACTGATCAATATTAAATAATCTGGTGCGCGATTCTTGTGCGCTGAGATGGGTAAAATTTAATCAGATATTGCGATTTCAATTTAATTATGGAGAGAATTTAGTTTACATACCCATAAGATATATATAATCCGTAATTTCATAAATACATAAAGATGAATTGACAACTCATTAAAAAAGATCCTCCCCAGCAATCTTCAAGCGTGAATAAATATCAAATTTTAACCTTCAATTGATAGTATAGTAATATTTTGCTCAATTCTGAACAAGATAAGAAAGAATCAGTGATTATGAAGAATGCATTGTGTTAAATAAAAAATATCTTTGCTGTATTAACTTGTTATTAACCTTTTTGTTTTATAACTTATCTATATATGTTAGAGCGCTACGGTGCTACGTTCTGTAAGCCCTGCGCGTAACTAAAGCCGTGATTATTCTGTCAAAATGAAGTCCTTAACGACAGGCTAACTGCCAGCAGAACAAATACGGATTGATTTATCCAAACCAGACCAAACCTCGTTGATATGTCGATAGTTGCTTTTTTAGCCTGTTAGATCCTTTAGAGCTTCATTTTGATAGACCGATCAGGGCTTCAGTAACGCGATAGTGCCGCGGGGCAGGTTTTTCGATGAGTACATCCCTGTTGTACGCACTCTCGCATTTAACAGCTACCTTCAACGATGGAGAAATAAAATATTTACCAACACAAAGGCTAGATACAGTTTCGGTGCGATAAATCATACCCATTGTTATTATTGAGGAAAAAAGTTGCTAGATTTCGATACTGTAGTATCGACGCAATAAATACACATCCGAGAAACATCGATTACTGAAAGATTTATATCTCAGTTTCTATCTGACGTGTATGCTTGCACCATTACTCATAGTAACGTATGGAGATCCGATGAAGTTCACTATGATCATAAAGTCTTAGAATGTTACATTCTACGTGAAGATTGTTGAACATGAAGACTGTTTTTCTATAATTTTGGTTAAACATAAAAATCATTTATAATAATGAAACTAAATATAATGAAACTAAAAAATAATTTTGTTAATATTGAAGCTAATATGCAAATAAGACTTATATTCAGTAGCAAAAATGCTGAACGTTTGCCTGATTTTCTTAAGTTCGAAAAATATATTTAAATTACCAAAATAAGCCCATACAATAGATAAAATACACGGTATAGTGCCTAAGCTGTGATTTTTAGAAATATTTCCAATATGAGGTATATAAGTAAATGTAATTAATCTCTTTTGACAGATTTTTGAGAGGTTAAATTGAAAAAACATTTATTTTCATTGACCCAGAAGTTTTAAAACACGTCACCTGTGACAAACGGATGAAAAAAGATGCACAAGTGATCCAATAAGGTTCTATGTTTCGTTCTGATGTAAGGAATTCTAAAACTATGAAAAAAAAGAGACAATACTTTTATAAAACTAAAGCAGAATATGAACATGTAATTTTATCGGCCACGTATGCCAACGCGAGTGGAAAAGTGTACCCTCTTATCATGTAAAATGAGTTAGTGGAACTTTGGTACGTAGACGTTTATATTGCGATATACTACAGGGGGAGAAAACTTTTATTATTTTTAAAGGAGAAAACTTCAACATTCAAGATTCATGACGTTTTTTGGCTGCGATAAAGATTTATTTCGGCATATATATTGTTTATTTGGGAGATGGATAGAATAGAGGTTAGTATATTTGCTCTGCAATGCGGAGGTTAATGAAGTTATAGCCAGTAATGGGATGGGTGAGCATAAAATATCACGAGCTTTTCTGTGGTAAGGCCAGGTAAGGCACGTTGAGCATTGTATCCGGCTGCATCATTAGTTCTTAATGCGTATTAAATTGACAATGGGCTGCGTGGTGTGATTTCATGTATAGGGACAGGCTATGTCCCAGTAGTGGGGTCATTTAAAGGTTCATCATCAGCCCTTTTACGCCCCCACTGCAGGGGCTCAGGCCTTCCTTATGAATGGTTAAGGAGGATGGGCCATGACTCTCCACGGCCCAATGCGGATTGGAGGTCTGCAAATGCAGCCGGGACCAACAGCTTAACGTACGTAAGAATTAGTTTTGTGGTTTTTATGTCTTTTTGAATAAGTGTTATTATTTTACTAAATCACACAATAATAAATGTGATATAACTTTAAGAAAATACACAATGATAATAACAATAGCACTGAACCACGTTATGATCATAGCATTGAATTACTTATCTCTTATTTATGAAATTTATATTGAATTATCATCTCCCTGAAGTGGGTTGTTATGATTTCTCTGAGAAACAGAGTTAATTTATGAAATATGTTTTAAGAAAATGATTTTTCCATTCCAGATTAAGTAGGACGAAATATAGAAACGTATTCAAAACAATTTTGTTTAATGTATATTGTTTTAAACTATTAAAAAACAAATATAAGACAATATCATCACCCAATTGCATGAATGTTCACTGATACATTAAAGTTTAATTACGACTTTAGGTTCTTATTAATGTTCTAAAAATGAAAATCTGTATCAGTAGTGTCGCTTTCAACTAATGACAACTTCTGCAGCTGGGTATTACGTTGCTCAGATCGAGATCGTTGCTCTGTCGATTGTACAAAGTTCTTTATTCAATCATTTCTTACCGATGTTTATTAAGTTATATTTAAATATTGTAACTTCTATTACAATCATAAAGTCTATGGTTCATACGATGTAGATATTCGTAACCCGCCATTTTGTTTACAACTTGACGGAGTTTAAAATGGCGTTCGACGGTAAAGACTCTTTAAGTGTCGCGATAACTTTTTAGTATGCAGTGGCCATGATTGAAGTGCAACCTGCCATCTTTAATAAAACATTGTCGGTTGACATTTTAGTAGAGCGTGCTTCCGGAATTTTACATCCCTCATTCAGCCAAAGAAGATGGGAATGGGTATAATGTTGCTCTTTAAGTAGGAGGTAACCGTTTGTAGATGAGTGTGCTCTAAACTACCTACCAATTTTCATCCATGTTCCTTGTATGCATATTGTTTAATAGTTGATAACGCAATCATGAGACTGTTTCTTTTGTTCGAAATGAATATTGTGTATGTTATTTACATATCATCATCAGCCTATAATTTTATCTGAATGATTAAATCACAATATTTAAAAAAAAAACCAATTTTAATATATGTATTAATGCTATTATGTTTTAGGTAATAAATAAATCTGTACGCATAATTATCTATAGTAATATCCACTTATAATGTAATAACATCAGAAACAGAAAACATGAGTAACATTATTTTATACCAGCTGTTATGTAAATTAAAGCCTATGTCAACAGTTATGTGCAGAAGTTTCGGAGCCTATTCTACGCAAACGAGTAATTAAATTTTTCTTCTTTATGATATTACATTAGTAAAGATAAAGTCGAGAATAATATATATATATATAATATTTTGAACAATTTCTTTCGCTATGCAATTATATTACAAGTTTTCGCTATGAATATAAATAAACTGGGAATATGAATAAGCAATTTCTTTTAGATTATCCGTGACGCTATAAAACTCTTTACGATAATACTGTTCTAGTATGCAGTTAGTGATGCACTTCGCGCTGTATATTTTACAGCTGTTGGTGTACCCTGGGACCACGTGTGTTGGTTTCACAATTTACGATGTTTATAAATTATCAACAGCACCATATTGTAGAGTGTTATAAGCTGTGCCAAAGTTCGTTATGATCCCAAGAGTACTAGTAAGAACTATAGGAAATATATATAGATATATATATATATATATATATTTATAAAGTTTATGGATGCTGACGACGACAAATAAAATATTTCAATAATTTACTGAGATATAAACGATTATGAACTCGACTACTTTACTTCAAAGTCTAGTGAGTCTGTCATATTATTTTAAAAGAGTATAATAACTACAGAATTTGGTAATCCATATGTAATCTATAGGTTCATATCCGGCTCGAAGGACCAAAAAAATTACACATGAATATGTAAAAGTTACTTGTGGCGCATGTAGAGAAAATATTAACCATTGTTTAAGTTCAGTGGTACAAGTAGTTATAGATCTCTAGTAAAATCTCAAGTCTCAAGCAATTTAAGTATGTGCGGTGTAAGACCATACAAACAACTTTCCTATTAATATTATGAAATCGACTAGTTATACCAATTAATCTTTTAATCGTCGAATGATCCTTCCAAAACCTTCTTTCGGTAAGTAACTAGAGAGTAGAACAATATTTAGAAGAGTTCAAAACACTAATTTATCACTTCATTACCTAAGGCTTCTAATATTGCATGAAGCGCTATATAAATGATAACTAAAATTGCCAAGAGCGTCTTCTATAGCCATAACAAATCGTCTGTCTCAACGACCTCAGTTATAAACTTGATCTGTCTCTGTCTAATGAACTGTCTATGATTAATATCCGAATACTAAGCTGCGACTGCAGTAACGAGGCGGGAGCGGGCGTTATCGAGTAGGGTCTCCAATTTTGATATATTTATTGTCTTTGTTGTTCATAAAATATTGAGTCTGCAAACGAACATTATATTTTAGTGGTGCAAAAGCAATAAGTTATATTTGCCAAAACTAGAAAAAATTTGAAATTGTATGTTTGACAATATTTGTAATTTTGAACTAATGAATGACCGTTCACTGAAATAAAAAGATACCAAATAAGGCAGTGGTCACTAAGAACGTCCATTTTCTCTTAATTACTACATCAA